AGCTCGCTTTACTCACAGCATCTGGCCCGCACAGCCCACTTCCAACCCGCACCCAGCCCGCCTGCTGCCCCACTTCCTGGCCCAACAGCAAGGATTCTTGGCCCAATGTCATGCAACTGTGGCCCAACACCTCTTAAGTGCACCATATGCGGCCCAACAGCCTAGAAATGGCTCCAAATGGTACCAACTTGACCCAACAGCCCCATTTTGTGTCTAAAATTAATTCGGATCGATTCGACGTGGACGGGAAGGTAAATGTGAGATATTATTTCTCACGGCGAAGGTATGTGGCTTATTTAAATTGAGGATGGAGGATTTTTAAATGCGCAAAAATTGGATAAATTATTGGATTTAGAAAATTTGGATATTCAAATGATTGTTAAATTGACAATAATTAAATATTATTTGATTTATCAAAGGATAATTGGATTCATCGAGGAGCATTATTTGACTTGCTTGTGGAATTATTCGATGCGTTCGAGGAGAATTATTTGATTTGCTTGAGATATTATTCAATTTATTTGTGGATATTATTTGAGGTGGCAGAGGAGGCATTATTTGGATTATTCATGGAGAATTGTGTGAAATATTTGGTTTATTCATGGATATTATGTGATTTATTCGAGGAGACTATTTGATATATTCGTGAGGATCATTTGACTAATTTGTGAAGCATTATTTGATTTGATCGAGGATACAAATTTTAATCAATTCATGAGGATTATGCGATTTTTTCGCGGAAATTATTTGACTTATTGGAGGAGACAATATTGATATATTTGTGGAAATTATTTGACGTAAAGAATTGTTTGGAGAATTTGTGGTGCATTATTTGGTTTGCCCGAGGCGAGTTATTTGACTCGCTCGAGGAATTATTTGATTTATTCGTAGGATTGCTTGATTTGTTCGAGGAAAATCATGTTATTTTGTTCGAGAAGATATTATTTTGTTCGAAATGATATTTGATGTGATCGAGGACACATTATTTAAATAATTCATGAGGATTATGCGACTTTTCCGTGGAAAATATTTGACTTATTGGAGGAGAATTGTTTAATTTGCTCGAGATATTATTTGATTTATCTGTGGAGGTATTTGATTTATTCGAGGATGTGCTATTTAATTTATTTTTGGAGGTATTTGATTTATTCGAGGAGGTGCTATTGGATTTATTTGAGGATGATTATTTGAGGAATATATTTCATTTGTGCATTGATGATTATTTGATTTGCTCGAATGATTGTCAAATTTGTTTGTGGATGATTATGTAATTTGCTCGAGCGATTATGCGATTTATTCATGGACATATTTGAATTTCTGTCGAGGAAATGACGAAATAATCCAAGTCTCGACAAGCTATGGCAGATGAGCTGTTGAGTGTCGAGGACAAAATGAACGAGCATGGATCCATCTAAGGAGGGTGACAAGCAGGGACGAGCCTAGATGTTGTCGATCACCAGTGGCGATTTCAAAAGGAACGGGTAAAAATTAGCTTCTTTGGGAAAGATATGACAATTTGGAGTGGTATCTCGACCTTCAGGTACAAAACTATTTTCAACTCTTGATTTGATGGTCGAGTTTGATCGACACACAATTTATGGACGCATTGAGGCTTTCAACATTATTTTTTGGGGAATGTTAATTGTTTGAATACCTTGGGCGAGGTATTGAGGAGATTCTGATGCACATTGCCATGATTGGGATTATTCTTCGGATGACTAACAAAATTATCGAGTGTTGTCATATCTTGTTATGTTCGATATTTTCTTTTTCGACCTTAGTGGCAGGTCGAAGAATTTGAGCACAAGTCGTCAAATACAACCAGGAAAAGGAGGTCGAATACATTTTATTCTTTATCTTGTTCGATATTATTATGCACATTATGGGACTAACGAGAACAATCGATTACTATCATATCTTGTTTTGCTCGATGTGTTTCTATTTGACCTCAGTGGCATGTCGAAGAAAAAAATCCACCATGACTAAGGCCGCCGGGCTGGGTGGTCGCTTGTTTAGAACACCCCTTGGGATGGGCAGGTTGGTCGCCTGTTTAGAACATCCCTCGGATTGGGTGGGCAAGTGCCTGAAGAAAAAAAATCCACCATGACTAAGGCCTCCGGGCTGGGTGGTCGCTTGTTTCGATAGGCCCCCTCGGGGTCGGCAAGTGCCTGAAGACAAACTCCACCATGACTAAGCCCTCCGGGTTGAGTGGTCGCTTGTTTAGAACACCCCTTGGGATGGGCAGGCTGGCCCCCTGTTTCGAACATCCCTCGGATTGGGTGGGCAAGTGCCTGAAGATAAAAAATCCACCATGACTAAGGCCTCCGGGCTGGGTGGTCGCATGTTTCGATAGGCCCCCCCGGGGTCGGCTAGTGCCTGAAGACAAATTCCACCATGACTAAGGCCTCCGGGCTGGGTGGTCACTTGTTTAGTACACCCCTTGGGATGGCAGGTTGACCCCCTGTTTCGAACATCCCTCGGATTGCGTGGGCAAGTGCAAAGACATGGATAGCTCGAGCAGACCTCCGAGGCAGGTCGATGATTCCTACTTGACTCTATTTCGTCTGGTATTATTGTATATGTGTTCCTAACCCAGTGGCAGGTTG